TCATTAGAAAAACAGAAAGCTAGATGGGGATGAAGATTATGATAACCCTTTATTGTCTATAAGGAGCTCTGGTGGTGTAGTGGTTAAGGCATTTGGCCACTAACCAGCTGCTCCACAGGAGGAAGATGAGGTAGTCTACTTCCATAAAGATTTACAGTCTCTGAAACCTAATGGGGGTTGCTGTAAATCAGAATCAACTTGATGGCAGTGGGTTTGGTTTTTTATGTTATTGTTTATATGTATTCTTTTCTAATTCTTTTTCACTTTTAATTTTCTCCTCATATATTAAAAAGGACCAGAGATAACTTATATCTTTCCAAAAAATACTGATTCATTTGAAAATGTTTACAAAAGATAAGTGTACCTTTGTCTATTTATTCTAGATTAATTTCAAATGGGAGACTGGGGATAGCTTCACAAAAGAGATGAACTGAGACCTGAAGAATGAATAAGAAAGTGAAATGAAGAGGTAAAGTTTCAAGCTAAGTAAGTATCACAAACAGAACTGAGAACACGCAAGGCCTATATGATGAACGGGGAACACTATGACTGAAACATAAAACTATTAACACTATACTGTAATTGCTGTTGTTATGTGCCGTCGAGTCAGATCTGACTCATAGCGACCCCTCCTTGAGTTTCCAAGGCAGTATCACTACAGGAGTAGATTGCCCAACCTTCCTTCCGAGGAGCTGGTGGGTTTGAAAGAACCTTTAATAAACAGATGGTAAATCTAGATGAGAAAGAGTTGGGGGAAATCAGATTAATCTTCCATGGGCAAATCAATTAAAGAATTCCCCCACTCAAATACACCCATTCAAATACACTCCTCACTTATCCACGTGGTTTGGTTTTAAAACCAGGCCATTATGTAAAAATCAGCATTATGCAAAAGTAGAGGATGACTACATCAATACATAATTTCCAAATTACATCATTATATAACTGCCAGCCCACTGAAAATCATGACTCAGCCAAGCTGACACATAACCTTAACCACCACAGCCAGAGTTACTCTCACATCATACCCTGGTGTTCATTACTGCTAGACATCCATCATTAATACACAAAAGTCAGACAGTAGATTTTTTTACTATGGTTGTAAATACAAACTGTCTGATAATGAGATAGTTGATAAGTGAAGATTAGGTGTAATGTTATCAAGTTGTTGCTGTTGTTAGGTGCTGTCAAGTCGGCACCAACACATAGCCACCCTCTGTACAACAGAACAAAACAATGCCCAGTCCTGTGCCAGCCTCATGATCTTTGCTACGCTTGAGCCCATTGTTGCAGTCACTGTGTCAATTCATCGCGTTGAGTGTATTCCCCTTTTTCGCCGACCCCCTACCAAGAATGATATCCTTCTCCAGGGACTGGGCCCTTCAGACAACGTGACCAAAGTAGGTGATATAAGGTCTGGCCATTCTTGCTTCTATGGAGCATTCTGGTTGTACTTCTTCCAAGAAAGATTTGTTCATTCTTCTGGCAGTCCATGGTATTTTCAGTATACTTCACCAGCACCACAATTCAAGGGCATTAATTCTTCTACAGTCTTCCTTATTCATTGCCCAGTTTTCACATGCATATGAGGCAGCTGAAAATACCATGGGCATGGGTCAGGCACACCTTAGTCTTCAAAGTGACATCTTTACTCTTTAACACTTTAAAGAGGTCTTTTGCAGCAGATTTGTCCAGTGTAGTACGTCGTCTGCTTTCTTGACTGATGCTTCCATGGGCATTGGTTGTGGATCCAAGTAAAATGAAATTCCTGATAACTTTAATCTTTTCTCCATCTATCATGATGTTGCTTATTGGTCCAGTTGTCAAGGATTTTTATTTTCTTTACATTGAGGTGAAATCCATACTGAAGGCTGTAGTCTTTGATTTTCATCAGTAAGTACTTTGTTATCTTCAAGTTCAGCAACCAAGGTTGTGTCATCTGAATATTGCAGGTTGATAATGAGTCTTCCTCAAATCCTGATGTGTTTTATTGACTATGCAAAGGCATTCAACTGTGTGGATCATAACAAATTATGGATAACAATGTGAAAAATGTGAATTCCATTAACACTTAATTGTGCTCAAGAGGAACCTGTACATAGACCAAGAGGCAATCATTCAAACAGATCAAGGTGATACTGAATGGTTTAAAATCAGGAAAGGTGTTCATCAGTGTTGTATACTTTCACCACACTTATTCAATCTGAATGCTAAGCAAATAAGCCAAGAAGCTGAACCATATGAAGAAAAACGCATCATCAGGATTGGAGGAAGAATGTTATCAAGTAGACCATGAAAAATATATGCTGAGCAAAAAGCTAGAAATCTAGACCTAGAAAACAACCCACATGTAGATCATGGCCAAAGCCACAGAATATGTACTTGTTACCAGTTTTAATGAGTCCCAGCATACCAGACATTTAGGTTAAAACTATCAATCCAGGTAGAACCAAATAGTTAGTAATAACATTAAATTGCCTAAAGGCAATTAACTCTATGAAATAATTCTCCAGTTCAGAATCTATTTTCTTCTAAATATTGAAATTCTATGTAGATACAAGTACTGCAATCCAAAAAAGGATTCTTCAGAAATCAAAATACCACTACGTTTATACTGCATTTTCAGTTTACAACACCTCTTCATGTATGATCTCATGTACCTTTCTGGAACAATGTTGAGCTCAAATGGGTTAATAGTATCCTTGTTTTAGAGAAGAAGAAACTGAGGCTTGAGAGAGAAAACATAATGAGCTCAAGGGGCAGGACTGGCAGAATCCAGACCATGGACACAGGTCTTCAGTGTTATTACATCTTAATGAGCAGATGAATGGTATGGTAAGGGGGCTAGAATCTTTATGTACACTAAGCTCTGTCTATAGACTGAACATTTCTTTTCAAATGTATTAGGATTTTTTTAAAAATATACTTTTAAGGTTTTTCTTTTCTGACTTAAAAAATCAATACATGCTTATTGTAAAAACTTCTAACTTAACAAAAATTTGTACAATAGAAAATGACATCTCCTTATAATTTCAACCCTCAAGATCACTGCTATTAATACATTTCTCTATACATTTTATTGGAGCTGTAGTAGCGTAGTGCTGAAAACTGCTAACTAGAAGGCTGGTGGCTCAAACCCACCAGCCACTCCTTGGAAGGAAGGTTGGGCAATCTACTTCCGTAGTGACAGCACCTCGGAAATCCAAGGAGGGGATGCCATGGGTCGGGTCTGACTTGATGGCACATAACAACAATATACATTTTATTAATGCGTATGGTATTCTACTAGATCAAGGTTTAGAGGTAGATGCTTAGTTACAGAGTATAGCTTAAATTTTCACAGCCATTGCCAAACTGTTTTCCCAATTTACAACAATAAAAAGGTTTTGTTAAGTGTGCTTAAGTCAGCTCCAGCTCATAGTGACCTTATATATAACAGCACCAAAGATTTCCTGGTCCTGTGGCACCAATTTATACTGGTGTACAATATATGATTGACAGATTTGATTATTAAAATATAAAACTTCTATCAAAAACAAAAAAAGCACAAAGTTAATAAAAATGACAAACTGGAAAAAAATATGTCAAAGGATTAATTCCCCTCATGTATGACATTTTTTTTATGAATATCACAAATGGAAACATATACAAAAGTTATAAAAAGTATAAATAGAAATGTTAAATAAACACATAAACCAACATTCAATTTTACTTAGTAAAGAAATGCAAATTAAGTAAAAAAATGTATTATTTGCCACAGAATTGGCAAAAAGTTTTGAAGATTACCTATCAGACATGAAGATGGAAACAAGCTCTCTCTTGGACTTGGAAATGGGTAAATTGGTTCAAATTTGTAGGGCATTTTGGCCATCTGTTAATATTTTAATGTATATAGCCTCTGATCCAGCAATTCCACACTTAGGAATTTATCTTAAGTCAGTCAGCTATGTAAGTGCATAACAATTTATTTATAGGAATGCCCAGCGAAGTGTTGCTAATAATAGAGAAAACTTAGAAACTGTTCAATGTTTATAAATCAGCAATTAAACAAATTATGTTAAAACCATACAATGGAATGGTTGGTAGCCATAAGATGATGCAATGATATAGAAAAATATTTATGATATTCAAAAATGTATAGAATGATCACACACACACACACACACACACACACATATATATACACAAGCCATAGGATAATTCTGTATGATATATTTCAAAATATTAACAATAGCTATTTATCTGTGTGGTGGAAAATAGGTAACTTTTCATTATACTATACATTTCTGTAATTGTTTTAAGTGCTGTGCATATTTTCACTTTTCTATTAAGGAAAACATTAAGACTATTTTCATTTAAAAAGAGATGGGGAACATTGAAATGTTGGGAATCAGTGGACCAGAACCAGATGACTCCTAAAACCTTTCTCATTATAAAATTCCATATGATAAGTAAGGAAATGTTTAATCTAGGGAGCTTGTTTCTCATGATACAAGAAAAATTTGCTCAAGATTTATTATTTTCCTAGATTTTCTGAGAAGACTAAAATATAACAAGAATTATAATATTCTTATTCACATAACTTTTTGGCTCTTTTAATAATAATGATGACTGAATCTTGGGAGTACAGAAAAAGGGTGGAGAGAATATAATGATGATAAAACCCCAGCTTAGGCTAAACCACTGTCAGGTTTCAAGACTCTTTAAGAACCTCAGTGCAAATCTCCAAATTTATATCCTAGAGCTAGAAATTGAGACTCACTGTTCTATACATAGAATATTAATTCTATTGAAAACAAGTATTACTATTTTTGAATTGTAACTGCAGGAGAGAAGCAAAGGGAAATGTAACAAGTTAGATTTACATTAAACTACCAGGTTACCTAACCTTTACTCATGACATTAAAAAAAAATGCTTATAAAAGCATATTCAAAATATTTAATTATTGTTTCAACATTTATATATTATATGTGATATAAAATAACAATTAAATAATTACCTCTCCTATGAAGACTACTATAACACAGTCCAACTTCTCCTCAGGATACAGATTATCAATAAGGGAATGAAGAGTTTCTATGAGGTAAGACTTAACTTCTCTCTTCACTGTGGGAATTCCCATTACTATTGAAACTGAAACAAAATAATGATAGTAATTATATAAAAATATTTTATAAAGACAATTTAGAAAAACACTATTGTTTCAAAAGTATTATACCCACTCAATTTGATGGAAATAACTGAGGGATCAAAAAAATACAAAGTCCCAGAAAGAAAAATAATCAAAGCATACAAGGGCATACCTTACTAATACTATGATTCTTTCCCACATGGCTTACCCATTCCAAAGACACTCACGGCCGTTGAGTCGATTTTGACTCATAGCAACCTCTCCTCGGGTTTCCGAGGTGGTATCTCTACGGAAGTAGATTGCCCAATCTTCCTTCCGAGGGGTGGCTGGTGGGTTTGAACCACCAGGCTTCTGGTTAGCAGTCAAATGTCTTAGGCACTATACCACCAAAGCTTACCCATTAGGAAAAAATAATTTTAAAAAACTGATAAAAATTAAAGATATTAAACCTCACATTTAAAAGAAATGGCTTTAAACAGTAAATTTTAGTAAATAACCAAAACTTAGTAACACTAAACACATCTTAAAAATTAACATCTTACATAATGACTTCATGGACCTGCTATGTGACACGCTGAGAAGGGCTAACATTATTTTTATGGTTTTCTTGCCAACATGTATAACCTCAATCTAACCATAAGGAAACACCAGATAAATTCAAATTGGGAGAATATGCCACAAAATAATTGCCCAGTACTCTTTAAATTGCTAAAGTCATGAAAGACAAAGAAAGAATGAGGAACTGTCTCATATTACAGAATTAAGGAGACATGACAAATAAATGCATTATGGGATGGTGAGCTTGATCCTGGAATGGTAAAAGGTTAATAATGAAACATAAAAAACAGGAATAAAATCTGAGGTTAGTTAATAGTATAGCATCAATTTTAATTTCCTGGTTTTGATCAATGTACTATGATTATGCAATATGCTTATACATTTAAGGAAACTGGGTGAGCGTACACAGAAACCATTTGTGCAACTTTTTTAGTCTAAAATTATAGTCAGTTATACTATAATGGTTGTTTTGAAAACAAAATTTATTCCAACATGATTAATATATTATGGAACAATCTGAGCATAACATGAATTTCATATTTACTAGGTGAAAACAGAAAATTGAACCCAGGTGAACTGAGCTCAGAAAAATTGAACTGAGCCACATAGAAATACAGAAAATGCACACACCTCAAACATCTGCCAGCTATCTCACTTCACCACAACAGATGCATCACACTCATCCACATCTGGTGTGACAGATTTCCATTAAATAACCCTCCCTGTACAACTTCACAGTAACTTACCAGCTGCAAGCTTTCTAAAGCCTACTTCCACAAAGTTCATGTCTTTCTCAAAGTTTAGAACCATATGTGTTGTAGTATTCATGTATTTCTTAACCATTTAACACATGAAGAACTGTGTTACTATTTTTATTAAGTTCTTTTCCTTTTTTGTATAACTGACAAAGCTTTTGAGTGTTGTATTGGTAACTTCATTTTCTTATTTTACTGCACAATTTTGCATAGTGTGATGATTCTGAGGAATGCATATGCTTCTTTATAGTAGAGTGGACTTTATGTATTTCTTTTTTTAGGACTTATGTTGTTGTTGCTGTTGACAATATACACAGCAAACACACACCAATCCAACCATTTCTACATGTATAATTCAGTGACACTGATTACATTTTTCAAGTTGTGTAACTATTCTCACCCTCTCTTTCTGAGTTGTTCCTCCCCCATTAACATGAAGCCACTACTCCATGGTTCCTATCTAATCTTTCAAGTTGCTGTTGTCACTTTGAGTCTATGTAATAGCTCATAAAAAAAAGCATAATGCTCATGGCAGACATTTTTAACTAGTTAAGCTAGACTATTGTTTGGTTTTAAGAAGACTTCAGGGGCATTTTTTGTTCAAGATTTAAAGATTATCTCAGACTAATAGTTGCAAGGATTCATCCAGCCTCCATGGCTCCAGAAAATCTGGATTCCATGAGAATTTGAAATTATGTTCTTCATATTCCCCCTTTTGATCAGGATTCTTCTACAGAATCTTTGATCAAAATGTTCCATAATGGTGGCCAGGCACCATCTAGTCCTGATCCCACAGCAAAGGAAACAGTTGTTCATGGAGGCAATTAGCTACACATTCCATATTCTCCTCCCATTCCTGACTCTCCTTCCCCTTCTTTTCCTCCAGGTGAATACAGACCAATTGGCATAATTGAATAATCACTTGCAAGCTTTAAGACCCCAGGTACTACACAGAGAACTAGAAGATAGAACAGAAAAGCACTAAATATATTATTAGGCCAATTAACTGGGATGTCCCATGAAACCATGACCCTAAATCTCCAAACCACAGACCCAAATCCCATGAAGTTTTTAGTTGTAGCCTCACCAGCTACTCTTGTTGCTGCTGTTGTATGCCAATTCAACTTTTTACAGTGTATGTATTTCAAAGCAAGTTCTAAAAGATACTATCTTAAAAAATGTCTTGTTAGTCTAAGTGTTATATTGTAATACTGAAGTATTTTCCAAATGTTTCATATTAATCTTAAAAGCATTTTTGTTATTTGTTTTGTTAAAGATGCTGTAGAATACTTAGCATTTATAGACTTCTAAAACTAGAATGAAGCTGAAGGATCATGCACTAACTAGTCTACCATTATTGTTCTACAGATAAGAATACTGAGGGTTTCAATGATTACTCCAATAACATGCCACATTTCTAGCTTGCTTTTAAGGACATAAAATTTTCAGGGACTCAAAAAGGGGATCTACTATTATTTGTTCTACTCCTCTTTACTGAACCTCTATTAAACACAAGACATTCTCAGTGTTAGAGATACAATGGGAACAACAGAGAAGATAAGGTCCCTGCCCTCATGGAGCTTACATTCTAGAAAAGGGAAAAAGATAAATAAATACTATCTTAGAGGGTAATATGTATTATGTGAATTAAAATGTAGTAATGTGAGAAAGAGTGAATGGGGAGGGGAGAACTAGTACATCTATAAATAGTGTGGTCATGGAAGGTCTCTCAGACATCAACTAAGCTGACAACTAATTATCTGTAAGAGCTGAAGAAGAACATTCCAGGAAGAGGAAACAGCAAGGCTCTGAGAGAGAATGGTTTTGATACAGTCAAGAAATAGCATGAATAGACAATGGATCTAAAGCAGAATGAGCCTAGATTCAGAGAATTAGTCAGGGGTCAGATCACGCACAATCTTAAATATAGTTTTAATTCTGAGTGCAAGAGAAAGCCATTGTATGTTTGTAATCATGGGAATAATTTTATCTGATTTGTAATTTGAAAATATTACCAATTTTTGAAGAACAAACACAAAAGTATAAGAGTAAAAGCAGTTTGGGAAGATGAGCTAGGAAGTTACAGCAGTAATTAAAAGGTAAGGCATTGGGTCAAACTGGGGTATCTGAAGAGATAAGAGGAGTAGACAGATTCAGGATATATTCTTGAGACCCTCATGAATGGGGCTTAAGACTGGTAGAGACAAGCAAAGGAGAAGAATAAAGGATAACTTAGTGGATGGGATACCTTTAATTAAGAACAACATATGTGAAGGGGAAGGAACTAGAAATCAAGAGTTCTGTTTTGATCATGAGATGCTAGAGGAAGGATGAGTTACCCTGGAAGCAAATTCCATATACTTTAATCTGCTTCAGAATATAAATTAAAAATATGTAAATATTTAGAATATTGAATTAAAAGTGTAAGAACTATGTTGTGAAATATTCCTAGGAAATGTTTAATTCATGGAATTCTAACATTTTGTTTATGAAAAAAAAAAAATATATATATCCTGATCTAGAGTACACAAACAAAAATGGTATATCTAATGTAAATTCTCTACTCTTTACCACATTCTTAGTTTGTTGTTGTTGTTTTATGTTTAGGTGATACGCTTAGAGGATATGCCATTTTCCCAAAATATACTGTTTTGGAGCTGAAATTTAAGTTCCTTAATTTAAATCAAGGAATTCAAGGACTCCAAAGGCACTAAAAATGGAAGTACTAGTTTCAGCCCAAACTACAAAAGTATAGTATACATGCTTGTCATAATTCACAAAATACTCCCTGTTTACCTTCTAAGTACATGGTAAGATTGTAGTTCCTGGTCCCCTTATGGGTGAGGATGATAGGGGAGAGGGCATATGAGTAAAATAGTCAATGAGTCATCAGCATGTGTAATTTCGGGGCCCTGTAGTTATAACTATAGTGTGAAATCCTTCAGAGTTTTCTTTATTCATTGGTATGGCAGCAAATAATATTCAAGATGGTGACTAGTCTATTAACCTAGATCCCTGAGTGATCAAAAATGTACAATGCCCTCAGCCAACCATGACAGACATGCATTATGAGGAAAGAAAAAAAACACACAAAACCTGTGTTATTTAAATCACCGAGATTTTGAGGTTGTTAGCTATACAGCAAAACTCAGTCTATTTTGTTTGATATGATGCTCTTCTATGGCTTAAAAATGTATGTATTCTAAGGAATGAGTTCGGAAGAAAAGTGGACAATATGGCTATATCATCCTTTTAGGGAAGAGCAAGGTGGACAAAGGAACCAAACAGAAAAAGAGTGAAAGGGTTAGATTAAGAACTTTGTCCAATTAACCAAAGAAAGTAGGGTGACCTCCTGAAGCAGGGAAAAGGCAAAGAAACACATTCTTCCCCAGAGCTTCCAGAAGAAATGCAGCCTTCCTGACATCTTGGTTTTAGGACTTATAACTTTCAGAACTGTAAGATAATAAATCTGTATTGTTCTAAAGCACCAGTCTGTGGTAATTTGTTACATAAATGATAGGAAATTAAAACACTCAACAACTTCATCAGTAAATTATATATTCTAAGATCTCAGGTCAAATGTCTTTTTAAGGCTTTCCAAAGCTCCTTAATTAGACCAAATGCGCCTTTTTAATATATTCTCAGCAGGAGCTCTGGTAGCACAATGCCTAAGGCACTTGACTGCTAACCAGAAGGCTGGCGGTTCAAACTCACCAGCCACTCCTCGGAAAGAAGATTGGGCAATCTACTTCCATAGAGATACTGCCTCAGAAACCCAAGGAGGGGTCGCTATCATGTCAGGTCCAACTTGACAGCACATAACAACAACAACGTTTATTTAATTGTGATATTAAAGTTGTAACTACATAATTATTTGTATAGTTGATTCATGAATGTTTCTATTACTAAACTGAATCTCCAAAGGACTAGGAACCATTCTGGGTACTTTTTGGCATTTTCCTGTATCAAAGGACCTGGCAAAGTACCTGGCACATAGTAGCTACTAACTCAATTTTATTTCAGCAAACACTTAAAAATTATCTCTGTCCTGATACGGGTCTTTCCTCAGTCATCCTGCTCATCAGTGAGTAGGTCTTTAACTTGAAGACCTGTGTGCTTCTTCAACATGAAGAAACTTTCTTCTATTATTTATTTATTTCCTCCCTTCACGCTCCTGTTCTCTCTTTCTAAAATTCATATTACATAGATGTTAGAATTTTTCTCTATACCTCCATCCTTTGTGCTATTTATGCTGAACTCCAGAAGAACTTCACAGACCAATATTTTAATCACTAATTTGATCTCTCCAGCTGTGGCTACTCTGCTTATCAGTTCATCTATACGGTAGTTTTAAAATACAATCACTGAAATAAAAACACAAAGATCTCTGATACTTTAAAATAGCCAATTGTTTTATGAGTGAGTTGTCCCCTCCTCCCTCTAAAAACATACTATAATTATATTTTATGTTTAAATCATCTTCCATTTGCTCTATGAAGTCAATTTTCTAGAGTACTAACTTATCAATGGGAGCTCTGGTGGCATAGTGCCTAAGGCACTTGACTGCTAATGAGAAGGCTGACCTTTCAAACCCACCAGCCACTCCTCAGAAGATTGGGCACTCTACTTCCGTAGTGATACCACCTCGGAAACCCAAGGAGGGGTCGCTACGAGTTGGGTCCAACACAGCACATAACAACAACATCAAGTTATTAATGGAGTAGTTTTCTTAAATAGTTGGCAATGCCTCATTACATCAGATATTCTTTTACCTATCTATAGTTGTTGTGTTTGTTTACTGTAGCCTGCCTCTGATAATCCTGTGGGACTATGCTAGGACTATGCGGGCTGGTAGTTATTTGTTCTGGCTGTGAGAATTCTAGGCCTTCTTCTGAGGGTCAATAACCACCGTTAGTCTTAGGAAGGCTTAGCTCCTCCAAAGGCTATTCACTATTAATCAGCCTGATCACTGAAGAACAACATTTTCAGCAAGAGGTAAGTTTATTGTTTTTATCTTTTTAACTCTGTAAGACACTGGTTCTTACCATAAAGTCCCTAGACAGGTTTTAGGGGTCCACAAAATCCCAGAAATTACATGCAAAATTGTTTTATATGTGCATTTCTCTAAAGAGAAAGTTGACAGTTTTCCTAGGGGTCTAGGACTCTAAGAATGTTAAGAGCCACTGCCTAAGGATTTAGGAAACGTTTTTAATGTAAACCGGGAGGTGTTCCTTATCTGTTCCAAGCTGTCTGCTTTCTCTACCTTTCAAAAATAAGGTCAGTTTTGTAAGAAGGCTGACTACTGAAAAGCTGGCTGACCAAGATTTTATTACACTCATGATTATGATGAATAGAAGTCATGCAAACAAAAGTATGGAATAAATATCTTCAAAAGGAATAGAGAGAACAGCACATTCATAAATTAAGAACATAAATAAAAAAAACTTATTAGAGACCTTGTAAATTTTAAGTGACTTTAAAAACACTTCTACTTTCTTTTCATTTGATATTCTTATCTAAACCAAAAAATGTACAATTGGCTAAGGTATCTTACCCAAATAGTAAAGAGAGAGATACAGTTATCAACTTCAGAAACAATTAATGATGACAATTCTAAAGAAAATAATTTAGAGCATGCTCCACATCTTATTAGTCTTCGTATATTCAGCACCAGCAGAGTGCCTGGCACACTCCTGTGAAAGTCATACGACATATATTTCTTGAATCAGTAATGAAATGGAAGAATGAGTTAATGTGGACATGATACTTTGAGTTACCACCTCCTTAGGAAGACAGTACATGCAGTTCCTGGATCACGAACCAGTATCATTCTTAAGTCCATCTTTAAGTCAAATTTGTACATAAAACAGAACACCTGAGCACACTTTATATCTTATATCAGTTAGCCAAACGTTTATCCTTGTATATAGTATATAGGGTACTTTTCTTTTAAAAACATTAAAAAGTACTTCCAAATAAACTGAACACTTCCAAATACACTAAAACACCTTTAATATAATAATACAGAAATAATAATGTTTTGATGTGTGTGGCAAGTAGCACTCATTCGTTATTAGAAATCAGTGTATGTGCCTCAAATTTTTAATATAATGGCTTTATGGGAGTTGGCTCATATTAGTCAGATGTTCATAATCCAGGGCCTGCCTATATAAATTTTAAATGATTAATAAAATAAAAAGATGGCAAAAATAAAATATGAATGTAAAAGCTTATACTTTCAGATCAAATAATGAGAAATTTAACAAAAATCAGACAGTAAAATAAGAACCCTGTTGAATCAAAGGTAGACTAAATCAACTTTTTAAAACTTTAAAACAAAACTGAATTTCAATATCTATGAGGTAATCATTTCGTTACTTGTTAACACTTATTAGAGAATAAAATACTACTTTGATCTCTGCATTTTAAAACCTACAAAGAAAAGATTAATAAAGCCAAAACAGAGGAATAACAATTATGAAAGAATAGCAAATAAATCCTATAAAGAAATTGTAAGAAGCACTGATGTTCTGACAAGATGAGAGAAAAACTCCTGTATTTTTGGGTATATTAGAAAAAAAAGCAATTTTTTACTGTATGAAAGGTTAAACAAGAGTGGCTATATACTTACATTTCTGTACAAAAAAATAAGGCAGACATAAGAAAAACTTTTTGACATGACTGTAATCTTTTATTGTTGAAATAGAACACTAGGGAGAAAAATGTAGTCCTTCCACCTCCCAAATCCTTAAAATAGAAAAATTACAAAGGTTTGAACATTTTCCTGCCTGGAGATGGAACCTGAACAAGATGTCTTGAGATCCTTTTCAGCTCTATGACTCTGCTCTATGGAGGAAAATGTCCAACACCTTTCTATCTGCACTGCACTTTAGGATGAATCCTAAGTTACTGTGACCAGATGAAAAATGAAATTTTATTTTTCTGACCTGCCAGACTTCTAATGGACAATACTCCAAAACGCAGCTAAAACCAGTAATACAACCATAGTAAGAAACAAAATAAAAATACCTCCTGTTCTTCCATTGCCAATCTGCACAGCTGGTTGGAGGCTTCCTTCATTTTGCAATAAATGAGGCAAATGATAATAAATACTTGGCACTTGAAGAGATTTTTTGCTTGTTAACTCCTTTAATAGTTTTAGGGTATTATCTGAAATACAAAGTATAAGCCACATGAACACCTAATCTTATAGAAATGGCTAATCTTACAAACATGGCTGTAAAAATTTATGAAAACTAAAACAGAAGAATTTTCTTTCCTAATTACATATTTTCGTGAATGAGATTGCCAGTTGACACTTGTGAAACCTTAAAAGGAAAATGATGCCTTTGCAACCAGGGCATTAAAGAGTTGTGATGTTGATAAATAGTCTGAATGAAGCCAAGAAGGTCAACCAAAGTACCATGAAAAGGTGAAATGCTAGTCATTCACCTTTACAATGCATTAGAACTCAAGCTCTACTGAAGAGACTCTAAACATGGTAGTCATTTATGAAAATTCAATAATTAATAACAAGCAAAGTGACCCCTAATAACTTTCATTTTCTTTATGCTATTACATTTCACCAAAATTTCACATGGAACTTATATATATAAGTTTTTTTAGAAATTTTTTTAAAAAATTCAAATAACTTAATCATCACAAGTTGAGAACGTTTACTATTGATAAAACTTTCAAACAGTTTCACTTTTCATTAGAGGAACCAATGAATCATTTAATATAAAACAAAAACTCAATAGTACAAGAAATACTGTTTCAAAATGCCATTAAACCAGAACTTAATCTTTAAATAAAGAAGTTGGCAGTAAGGACTTAAGAACGTCAAAAATGACTACATACAGAATTCAGAAGATGGTGTCCTGCTGAAAGACCGTACTCTAGTTCCCTTTTCTAACAGAGACTTTAAGAAACTCAGTAAGACAGATACAAATAATGATCTTGGAGTTATGAACAGCTACTGAGGAGATAAAGTATTAGATCCAGTGAAGATGGCGAAAGGGAACAGGTTAAGTGACTGGGAAAAATAAAAAATCCACCAAGTTGGTGGAGCCAAAGAGAAGGCATTAGAAACACAAAGGAGGTTGAGAAGAAATTAAAAAAAAAAAAGAAAAACTTCATTGAACCAACAGGCATTAAATACACAGAATAGTCACATAGGGAGTATTTCAAGGTGAGCTAAAGGTACACATGGGGGCAAAGATCATACTGGGAAATGGATCAGGACTTCCATAGAGTAAGCAGCCAGCAGAATCTGGAAGGGAATAAGGGAAAGGGAAGAGAAACTCTCTCTGAATAAACAGAACCTCAAATTGGACCCATGGCAGTAGGCTCAAGTGCAACTTTTAGCAACCATTTTTAGCACAGAGTGGAACTGAGGCCTGGGATTTCAAGATATGTGGATCCATGGGGAGAAGTGCAGTCCTTTTGTCTTAGGGGCAGCTGGTGGGTTTGAACTGGTGGGGCAGCAGGGCTTTGCATGATGACTGAATGTCACCATTGGCATACTGCTCCAAACAAACCCAGGGGCTGTGGCTGTCCTTCTCCAAGCTTGCATTGCTGACTGAATTATCTCATACTAAGCACAGAAAATGGGCTTTGGCTTTCTCCTGGGTGTTACTTCTGGTGCTGGTCTCCTTTCCCCTGTATGGTGGCTCTGGTGAGAGAGGCTTCTGCCAGAGTAGCCAGCTCCCATTGTTGCTAGATGAACATAACTGGAGGGACCCCTCCTCAAATACAGTATCCTACCTCCATTTTTCTACTTCCCAGTTTTTTTTTCCTTTCTCTCTGGTCACTTGCCCCTTTGCTTCCTCGTCTTCTTTCATTTTTGCCAAAACTTCATCCATCTCACCTACCCACTTTCATTTTCTTTTTCTTGTATTCATTTTTCTTTTTTCCCTATTTCTTGTCATTTATTTGTGTTCTGTCTTTTCATTTCTTCTTCTTCTCCTTGGCTTCTTTTTTGTGCCCTATCTTGTTCAATGGAAGGAACGTATTAACCCTCCACAAGTCAGCCATAGTTACTACACTGATCATCTCACTCAACAGACAATTAACACTAACAGCTCCTATACCGTAGGATCAATGACAGACAGTGAACAACACCTGCTCACTCCAACTGCAAATCCTCTTCGCTATGAACAGAGACCTGCACCCACATCTACTAACATAGACAAAGCTGGAGAGTGACCCACCACAGCTGAGTTAACAACCAAGAAGCACACCTGCTCCACACTTCCAGATATATTAAAACAAAGTAAAACATAAAGCCAGGGTGAAACAAATCAGTACATAAGCAACAAATAGAGACAACTTCAAAATGTCTGTTATGTTGTTGTTGTTATATGCCGTTGAGTCGGCCCCGACTCATAGCAACCCCTCCTTGGGTTTCCAAGGCAGTATGACTATGGAAGTAGGATTGGCCAACCTTCCTTCCAAGGAGTGGCTCGTGGGTTTGAACTGCCAGCCTTCTGGTTAGCAAAATGTCTAGGAAATGACAATTTCAAAACAAACAAAAAACAGGACAAAATAGTAGAAACAAGTGCGCAAACTAAATAATTAGGAAATCTCCCAGAGAAAGAGCAAGTAATAGAACTATCTGATAAAGAATTCAAAGATATAGATACAGGACACTCCAAGAAAGCCAGGAAACCACAAACAGAAGCAATGAGAAGACAGACAAAACCCTTGAAGAATTCAGGAAAATCACTGAAGAGCAAATAACAAGATAAAGTCACAATTAGAAACCATACAAAAACAGCAATTAGAAATCCAGCAGATGAACACTAAAATTATAGAGATAGATAACACATTGGAAGGACAAGAGAGTAGACTAGAACTGGCTGAAGAACGCATTTAACAGCTAGAAAACAAATCTCATGATGCCAGCCTGTATGATGAAAAATAAGAACAAAGATTTATGAGAAATGAAGAAAAGCTAACCGGTATATGGGATGACATGCAAAGAAATAACATATGCCTTATTGCAATCCCAGAACAAGAGGAGCCATAAATAAATAAATAAATAATAAAACCACTGAGAAATCAAAGACGTGCTAACAGAAAATTTCCCCATATCATTAAAGAAGAAAAGATATCCATCCAAGAAGCTCAAAGAACCCCATACAGGATACACCCCAAGAGAAAATCACCAAGACATATTATAATCAAACTTTCCAAAACCAAACACAAAGAAAAAATCTTGGGAGCACCTCAGGAAAAATGAAATGTTACCTACAACAGACAACTTAGAAGATTAAACTCTGATTTCTCAGAATAAACCACGTAGGTATGAAAGCAATGGAATGGCATGTACAAAATCTTGAAGGAAGAGAATTGCTAATCAAGAGTTACATATCCAGCAAAACTGTCCCACAAATGTTGCTGTTGTTAGATGCCCTTGAGTCATCTCCGACTCAAAGCAACCCTATACACAGCAGAACGAAACACCACCTCGTCTCACAGCGGCTCCACGATCCTTGCTATACTTGAGCCCATCACCACAGTCACTGTGTCAATCCATCTCGTTGAGGGCCTTCTCCTCTTTTGTCCACCCTCCAACCTACCAAGCATGACATCCTTCTCCAGGAAATGGTCCCTTCTGATAACATGACCAAAGTAGGTGAGATGATTTCTGGCCATTCTTACTTCCAAGGAGCATTCTGGCTGCACTTCCTCCAGGACAGATTTGTTATTTCTTTTAGCAGTCCATGTTACTTTCAACATTCTTCACCAGCACCACAACTCAAAAGGATCAATTCTTCTTCCGTCTTCCTTACTCATTATTCTTCATTATTCATACTATTCATTATTCATTATTCTTATACATGTCCAGCTCTCACATGCATAAGAGGTGATCGAAAATATCATGGCTTGTGTCAGGCGCACCTTAGTCCTCAACAAGACATCTTTGCTCCTCGGCACTTGAAAGAGGTCTTTTGCAGCCAACTTGCCCCATGCTATACGTCATCTGATCCACTCCTTGGAAGGAAGGTTGGGCAATCTACTTCCGTAGTGATACCGCCTCGGAAACCCAAGGAGGGGTCACTATATATATATATGAGGGAATAAAAGTTTTAATTACAAAACTTCCAAATGGAGAGAAGTCAGGACAATGTATTTATAGAACAGACTTTTCCAAACTTAGCGAGATAAGAATTTACTTAAGGGTAACCACAAAGAAAATTAATATCCTCTTAACCAAACTATGAAAGAAGAAAATCTCAAAATCATGGTAAACACAACAGCAACAATATGAAGAAAAGAGAAAAAATACTTGATAAGAAAAAAACTTGGCACAGAAAAATATTTGGAACAAAGAAATCACCAACTAAACAATAAAAAACAACAGAATCACAGTAATTAATTCATACCTATCACTAATCACACTCAATGTGAATGGAATAAATGCACCAGTGAAGAGAAAGACAGTGGCCGATTGAATAAGAAGACCCATCAATATGCTGCCTACAAGAGACCCACCTGAGATATAAAGATAAAAATAAATTAAAAATTAAGGGGTAGAAAAAATATATCAAGCTAATGGAAAGCACAGAATGTGGAAATTAAAGAATAATAACATTAATATCATATGCAAGTAAAATCTTACTGAAAATAATTCAAAAATGGTTGCAACAGTATATTGACAGAGAACTTCCAGAGGTGCAAGCTAGATTCCGAAGAGGATATGAAACAAGGGATATCATTACTGATTTGAGATGGATCTTGGCTCAAAGCAAAGAATAGCAGAAAGATGTTTACTTGTGTTTTGTTGATTATGCAAAAGCATTTGATTGTGTGGATCATAACAAATTGTGGATAACACTGAGAAGAATGGGAATTCCAGAACACTTAATTGTACTCATGAGGAACACATACATAGACCAGAGGCTGTCGTTTGAACATAATAAGGGGACACCGCATGGTTTAAAATCAAGAAGGGAGTGCATCAGGGTTGTATCCTTTCACCATAATTATTCAATCTATACGCTAAACAGATAATCTGAGAAGCTGGACTATATGAAGAAGAACATGGCATCAAGATTGGAGGAAGAATCATTAATAATGTATGATACGCTGATGACACAACTTTGCTTGCTGAAAGCGAGGAAGACTTGAAACACTTACTGATGAAGATTGAAGAATACAGTCTG